CACTCACCAAAACTACAACAACAACAACAACAACCACAACAACAACAACAACAACAACCACAACAACAACAACAACAACAACAACAACAACCACAACAACAACAACCACAACAACAACAACAACCACAACAACAACAACCACAACCTCCCTCACCAACAACTACAGCACCAACAACTACAACCACCACAACAACAACAAACATTTCCCTCACCAAAACTCCTCCTACATTTCACAATAAGCAAAAAGCAAATGGCCGCCAAGCACAGGGCCGCACAAAGCCGTGACGTCACTCGGCATCTCATCCGTCGCCAAATCCGGAAGACAAAGGACGCCATCTTGAATTCTTGTTTGTCTTAGCTTCGTCTGAGGAGAAGAAAGGAAAGAAAACAAAAGATATAATGTTAATTATGTAACGCTATTTTGTTACCTTAGAGTTACAGAAATATGTGAGGCAGCGTGGTGGAATCAGGCTCTCGTCAATTTTTGGGCATGTAGAGTTATTGGTATACTCTTAAGGCTTGTTCACTTGTCTTTATTTGGGTGAAAAAAATATCCATTTCTCTTGAATACAAGTCGAGATATTTGCGAAATAAAGAGGTGGGGGGTCACTTGTTTTCAGGGGTAAAATTAGTGAGAAAATAGCCGCCAAAAATTAGTTATTTCCGTAGCTTAAGAGTCCGTGGTAACTGAAAATTTACGTTTTTTGTGCCTTTAATCAACGTTTTTCCGAAAAATTCACCCAGAAATGAGTTCTTTAAAGGGTATGAAAGGTGTTGAGCCAAAAAACAAAAAAAAATTTGATAAAAATTGACCAACCTGCGAAAAAATGCAAGTTTCTTCACTTTGATTATTTTGACGATAGCCTGATTCCACCACGATGCCTCACATATAATGTTAATTATGTAACGCTATTTTGTTACCTTAGAGTTACAAAAATACATTATGACGTATAACACCTCTAACTATTGACACTTATTATGACCTTATTGTGTTGCAGTTGCCGTAAAACTCTGACTAAACATACTTTACTTTTACTTTTTCCATCATCTGGTATCCTTAGGATGTCGAGGGGAGGTGCAGGTTTCGGTCCTGTGCTAGGTGTGTAGCGTCTGTGATAGAATATGTTATGTTGTTCCAGGACCTTTTTAACCCCATCCAGTCAGGTCTTTCTTGGTCTTCCTCTTGATTTGAAGCCGGATTCACGGGTGTGGTAATCTCTAGCCGCTAGTTGTTTCTGGGACATTCTGGTTAGATGTCCGAACTATTTGACTCTTTGACGCTCTATGAAATTAATTTATTACTGGTGGTATTCCAGTTTGTAGACGTATGGTTTCGTTTCTCATGATGTCTCTTCTGGTGACCTTGATGGTTTTGCGGAGACAGCTTATTTCGCATACATTGATTTTTCTTTCTAAATTGTGCCTTGTTTAGAGACTGTGTTTACAACTGGTATGTTAAGGTTGTTATGAAGATGTTATTGGTGAGCTGGGATTTCACTTCTGTTGGGATGTTCTGTGACTGATCAGGAAAAACCTTAGGCCTACTAAAAAACGATTTTGTGAAAAATAACTACTGCACAAACCAACCTATCCACTTGATGTACATGTATCTATCTCGCTGTGTCCTTAGGCGAAAATCCGAGAAATAACTCATTTTGTCATCACTCCTTTCACAAATTGTGAGGCAGCGTGGAAGAATCAGGCTCTCGTCAATTTTTGGGCATGTAGAGTTATTGGTATACTCTTAAAGGTTATTCACTTGTCTTTATTTGGGTGAAAAAAAATATCCATTTCTCTTGAATACAAGTCGAGATATTTGCAAAAGAAAGAGGTGGGGGGTCACTTGTTTTCAGAGGTAACATTAGTGAGAAAATGTCTGCCAAAGATTAGTTATTTCCTTAGCTTAAGAGTCCGTGGTAACTGAAAATTTACGGGGTTTTTTGTGCCTTTATTCAACGTTTTTCAGAAAAATTCACCCAGAAATGAGTTCTTTAAAGGGCATGAAAGGTGTTGAACCAAAAAACAAAAAATTGAAAAAAATTGGCAAACCTGCGAAAAAATGCAAATTTCTTCACTTAGACTATTTTGACGATAGCCTGATTCCACCACGATGCCTCACATTTTGTCATCACTCTCTTCACAAATTTCCTTCTCATAGTTGTACGAGCCCCTATGGGTGTAGGACCAGGGCTATTTGTCAAGGTGGACGGGATTACACCTGTCATCGTTAGGATTTG